TTATTATTTTCTGTTGGAGCAAAACCTGGCGTTCATTTGCGTTCCCCAGCACTCATCTTCTCTGTGACATCGATCTGAACCAAAAAAATATTTCCAGGAATGTTCTCCTTGCTGAGGTTTTTCATTACCAAAGTATCAGCCAGCTCTCCTGATGCCACCCTCCAGAAAGCTCCTAGGATATTTTGAATGACACCACAAGTAATCACAGCTATTCATGTGTTTGTATTCCTAAACAAGCAGAAGTCATATTGACACAAGAATTCTGAAGAGCACACAATTGAATGCTCTGAAGATCTGACAATCTCTCCACACTTGGCCACTTCACACTCCTACTTCTTATGACTATTTAATTACAAATTGTTGGCCTCAAATATTTAAATCTTTATCTACAAATATATATATCAAGCCTTTCAAAGGCAGTGCAAAAGATCTTTAAAATCTGCTATCACTGTCAGGACGCTGTAGCAAAAAAACAACAAACACTTGTCACATATTTTAAGAATCTTTCAAAAATAACATCGAAAACATGACAATGTTGCAGAACTTTTGCATTCTGTGATGAACACAGAGTCATTTTATAACTGAATATATAAATTATGGTGTATTCTGAGAAGGGAGATCTCTACACAGACCCTGAGAACCTCCTTTTCATAGCACAGCTGATTTTAGGAATTCAGCTTGGACTCACAAAAAAAGATTCTGCAGTACAAATGAGGACTGGAGAAAAATATCCAGAAAATGCAATTTTGCTGTGAAATGTGGATGAAATCATAGCTGATAAATGCCACAGTGATAAAACCCTGTGACACAACCAAGTGCCCCTAAGAGACAAGGGAGTGTCTGAAAGCAACCAGAAGCTCCAGGGGGATGAATCTCTTCTGACAAGACTGGAAATCCTAGAAAGAAACATCCCCACCTCCTCCAGGAAAATAGGTTAGCTAGCTTGGAATCCCTGCTCTAAGGAAGCAAAAGTCTGGCTAACAGGTCAAAAAGGAAAAATAATCCTTGATTTGAATGTAGCTTTTGTGGAAACAACTTGATGAAGCTTGTATCAAGTTAATTTCTGTAATATTTTGTATCTTTCTTTTTAAACCTGAGGCAGAGAAAAATCCCTGGTGGTGTGGGGTCTCCAGGCTCCAGGTGTTTAATTGAAAAGGGAATTTGTTACTCACAAAAACAGCTTTACAGAACATGATCCAGGCCAAATCCTGGCGCTGCTCATGTGAATAAAATGATCCCACTTTAGCCCTACACCAAAGCAGGGCTGTGATTTCTGCCTGTATTTCAATTTGTGGACACTCAGCTGGATTCAACAACTGCATCTAAAATTTATAAGTTTGATTTAAAACATTAAAGGAGAACATTTTGATGGTCACCTCTATTGCCCCTACCCAAAAGCATTGTAGAGGCAAGCTCTGGATTTCATTTCAGTCCATCAGCATTAATTAATCCCATTAATCCCACATTCTCTCATGTTTTCAAGTTGTGCTACTCATATAAGTGTAAAGTATCTCAATAGTTTTGGAACAGAGTAAAAAGTGCAAAATAATGAATAATTTGTAGGAATTTTATTATCTGTCCACAGCATCAGAACTGAAAATTTGTATTAAAGCTCTTTTGGAATATGATGAGTTTCACATAAGTCATACACATGGAAGTAAAAATACTTTAAGGCAGTTATTTACCTTTTCTAAAATGAAATAATTTAGGCTGTCATCCAGCACTGTTTCCCAAAGGAAAGTGAGGCTGGCTGGTAAAGAGGGCACCCCTGGGAGAGATTAATTTCTTACCATTTTGGTCCTTTTTTTCTGGTTTGGTTATATAAGGACAGGGCCTGAATGGGGTCCTCTCTTCCTGCAGAGTTTCAAAGGGGGAATGACTTAGACCACAAGGCAAGATGAAAGAGATGATGACAAGGATTCTCTCTGTTGGTGCCACTCCTGATGTTAGAAAGCCCATGGTTCCCATTTTCCATTCAGAAATGCTTCTCTAGGTGTTGTCAATGAGTTCTGCACAAAAACTCCTTTCCCACCACGTTGGGTTTTGTGTTGATTCACTGCTAAGAAAAGGCACAGCAGAAATCCTCAATTCCTAGCAGTGCTCCAGAGAGAAAAATGAGCCATTGCTGGGTTTTAACTCTGCTCATTATTCCCTGGAAGGAAAAGTTATATTTGTGCTGCCTCTAGGCAAAGCCCCATCCCACATGAACAAAAGACTGAAGCTAAGTTCACATCCATTTCATCTCCTCCTGCTCTCCACAGATGCTGAAGTCCCTGACACTGTGTCTTCAGTGCTCGTATGGCACAGCAAATGATTCATTAAAAATGCACAGACAGATTGATCTTGGAAAGGGAGGGGGGGGAAAAGAAAAGATCTGGAGTTCAAGGCGAAAGGAAAATAGAAGTGAGGAGCCAAAAGGTGAAAAAGGGAAACACCCCCAAAATTCACATGAGAAAGGCATTTAAAAATAAAGAGGAGACAGCAACTGTGCTGACATTTAATGTGTCTGCTTGGGCTAAAACTCATCCTTTTACTAGCAATAAAACAACAGCCTAGCACAAAGCCTCTGGAGCATTTTGCATCAAGCACCTCATAAAAAGGGTTGGCAATTTCTGCTAAGGTCTGTACAATATCTACACCAAAATTTATTTTTTTTAGGGTAATTAAATGGGAGCAAATCCCCAGTTCAGGCAGGGAGAGCTGCTCCAAAGTGGGAAGAAAAAGGCAGGAATGAGCTCTCCTTGTGATTCCTGTGCTGCTGATCACCAGGTGATGGACAAGAGCAGCCCCACAGAATTTTTGTAGCATTTCCTGGATGGCCAGAAGGATTTTTGCTCTGCCAGAGGAATCCTGCAAGCAAAAAGCAAAAAGGATAATAAGCTCCTTGAGTAAGAGGCACCTCCTTGCAAATTCTCTTATACAGGTGACACATTTCTTCTATTTTTATCAAAAACAACTTGTAAAATAGAAATATGGACCATCATTTACATTCTTTCAGCAAAAAAAAAAACCCTCTGACAACTAAGCTGGATCCCTGCAATGGGAAGTACATATATAAATATATATTCACACACACAGCAGCAATATTTTTAGCTGTGATTTCCTACTCATGTGGCAACATGACCAGGGTTCTGAAGAAGCTGAGCCAAGTGAAAACACAACCTGCAGAACAGGTCACGTTTAAATATTCTGCTATTGAAGAATATTAAAAACTACAGATTAAGTAGGAGTGTTGTAACACTTAACATTAATTAAGGCTTGTAAATCATTCTGAAATACTTGGATAAAAGATGGCATAAAAGGTGTTGCCACATGTCTTGATGCTTCTAGATGTGCACAAGCCCTGACATCTTATTTTGTGTTTGGGATGTTTCAAATCATAAAAAAAAAATTACGGACACTGGGTGAATTTAATGTTGGGAAGTGTTGGGACACGACAGAGAAACACCAAGGTTGTCTTTTGATTAAGAACTCAAGCAGACATCTCAAAGTAAAAAAACTGAACTAGATCCATTTCTTGGATCCTGGTGGATCACCAGATCTGTGAGTTGGAGCTTGGCAGTGTTGCTAATCTTTGACTTGGCTGTATATTCATATATGTGAAATACAGATAATTTTCCTTCCAGTCTAGTACCACCAACCATTCCCATCCCAAAAAACCCTCTTAGTCCATGCTACCAAACAGCTGGAAAAGGAATCTGGAAGCACTTAATGCCTATCTGGGCTTGGTGAACAGCATAACCAGTTCTCAGAGAACTTGGCACTTGTTGCTTGTGCAACCACAGGTCTTTATAGAACACAGAAATCAAAGGCCAGCACCAAGGCTCTTGTGCTTTCCCACATGGGTCTCCAGATCTAAGAGCCATGTCTTCCCTTTTATCCAGAAACAAATATGTATTTTATGGCACCCATTAAAAAAAAAAAAAAAAAAAAAAAAAGGTGTAAGGAGTGACACCAAACTCATGAAGGAGCAGAGGTAATTAATTAATTACCTGGACAGGACACACTGGGCAGCTGTTAATGGTGCATCTCACCTGGAGCTGAGGCCACAAACACACTCCAGGTGCCCCCAGCACCTGGGGGAGCCCACCAGAAGCACAGAGAGAACTGCTTAGAGTCACAGGGCAACTGGAATGGATTCCAGCTTAAAAGAGGGCAGGTTTCAATCAGATGGGATACTGGGAAGGAATCGGTCCCTGTGAGGGTGGGGAGGCCCCAGCACAGGGTGCCCAGAGAAGCTGGGGCTGTCCATGGATCCCTGGAAGTGTCCAAGGCCAGGCTGGACAGGGCTGGGAGCAGCCTGGGATGGTGGAAGGTGTCCCTGCACGTGGCAGGGGGTTGGAAATTAATGACTTTTAAAGGTCCTTTTCAACCCAGACCCTTCTGTGACTCTGATTCTGGGCTGCAGCAGCAGTGATGCTCCTGAGCAACGTGAGACCACCACAGCCGTAGCTCTCACCTGGACTACCCGCAGGACATTTTCAGGGACGTTTTTAGGCTGGGCTGGGGATGAGGCGGAAGACCAGGCCGACATTTGACCCCAGAGGCAGCGCCCCCAGCCCCACACCGTGGTGTACACGTTACACCGCTGCGACCCCTCCCAGCCAGGTCCCACCGCGTGGCTGCCGGCAGCGCTTTGCCTCCATCACCCGAGCCTGGGAGCACAGCACAGCCCCCCAACACCTCGAAGGAGCCCCCCGAAATTGAATTACGGACACCGTGGGGGGTCGGGGCGGAGCGGGGCGAGGGCGCCGGAGGGGCCGCGCCCTGAGGGGCGGGAAGGGCGGGCAGGAGCGCGCCCGTGAGGCGGCGCGCGCGGGCCGGGAGGGGCGGGGCCAGCGTGGGGGAGCGCGCTCCGCCCCGCCGCCGATAGGAGGGGCGAGCGGAGGTGGGCGGGGCTAAGAGGCCAAACCCGCCTTGTGATTGGATGGTGTGGCTGTCAATCCGGGGCGGCCGCCGCGGCCGTGGGGAAGGAGGGGGAGGCGGAGAGGAAACAAAAACAATCGCCCGGGCGCCGCCATCTTGGGCCGGTTCTCCACACGCCACACGGGTGAATGGGTAGATATGAGATTACCACGGGGGAGCAGCGGCAGCAGGGCACCGAGGGCTGTTCCGCGCTGCCAGCGACACTCGGCGGGCTCTAGGCACGGCCGCCGCCGCCCGGAGAGAATCCCCCGGCTCGGCCTTTTCGCCTCGCCAGCCCCTAAGCTGCACTGCTGGAGGGACAAAGTTGGGCTGAGCCGCGCTGCCTCCGCCGCCCGGGAGACCGGAGAGTTGAGCCGGGGTCAGAGTTAGGGGAGAGGGTGACGAGGGGATCGCTCCCCGCTCCGCCGTGTGGGAGGCGCGGGGAGAAGGCTCTGCCTCCCCGCCCCTGCCGTCTCCTGCTGCTCGCTCCTAGGAGGAAAAGAAAAAAGAGGAAAAAAAAAAAAGAAAAAGGCAAGAACTGGATTGAGCTCGGAGGAGTGGATTTGGTGGAATCTCCGTGTGAGCAGCGGCGGGGCGAGGAGGAGATGTGTCCGTGAGGAGGGAGAGGAGCGAGGATCCATCCAGGACCCGTGAGGAGCCGGAGGAGCCTGGATCCATCCAGCCCCAGCCCGCCGTGAGGCACAGCCGCCGCCTCCCTTCCAAAGAAACCTGGTTCTCCTGGAAGCACGGCGAGGATTTGCCACAAAGAATATATACCACCCTCCTCCCCAGCGCCTGGATACTGCATTTTAATTTTTAAATTTTTTTTCTTTTTTTTTTTTTTTTGGTACCCCCCCCCCCCCCTCCCCAGCCACTCTTGTGTGTTAAATACCAAATATAGCCTCTCGCGGGGGGAGGGGATGGAAATCTCCTAGAAGAATTGGAAATCTTGCTGGGATTCGGGAGTGCTGGTGCTGGAGAAGGGCGGCGAAGACTGGGGGGATGCACTGCTCTCGCTGCCTGCCCAAGGACTAGAGATTTGCCACTTCTCGGGGAGCCCGAAGGTTTGTTTGTCGCCAGACTGTTGTTTCCCCCCTTCCCCTCTCCTGGGCTACGCTGAACCCCTCAGCATTTATTAAAGAAAACCCACGTGTAGCTGGTGGCTGGTTTTTTAAAGGTAGTTTTTCATCGACAAACTGACAAAAAAAAAAAACCCAACAAAACTTCCTCTCTTCGCCTCGAGGTTTGGAACTGGAATGGAGCTGCTCTTCTCCCGAACACTACACGGGGTGTGAAGGGGGCAGGCAGGACGAAAACATCGCCTCGGACTGATCCCCATCCGACCCCCGACACTCGCACCCACCAGGGATGATCCTTCACGGCGCCTGATGTGGAAAACACTTGGAGACTCAGAGACTTCGTCGTGCTCAGCAGCTTGATCGTTGACTTATTTTGTTTTGGTTTTTGATTATTTTTTTTTTTAAGTGGATTCGTAGCATTACTTTTATGAGTTGAATTTTGCCACCGTTTGTACAGAAGCCAAATGACACGTGTGTTTTGAAACACGGTTCCAAATATATTTATCCCTCCCTCAACCCGGATTCTCTCTAGAAAGAGCCGGGGAGGTCGTCAGTGTCTAAACAAACCTGATTTTTAGTGTTTTATGAACACTACCTGCTGCAGAAATGTTGCTATAAATCGCTTTATAACGGTTCAGCAAGAAGGGAGATTTTTCCAGCTTGCGGGACCCAGAAAACTGGATACTTAAAGTCACTTAAATGTTTTAACAGCATTGGAAAATGGGAGCTGCTACTAAGTTGGCGTTCGCTGTTTTTCTTATCTCTTGCTCATCAGGTAAGTGAATGTTCCTGGATTTGTCACTTGGGCTTTGGGGTCAGCACTTGGGAACTTGGGCTGGCTCTGTATGAATGGGAAACGATTTATTTTTTTTTTTCAGGTGGCAAATGTTTGTGGATGGCAGCAACTGTAAAGGCAGAAGCTGCTTTCGTGTTTATTCTTAAAAATATATATATATAGCGTGAGCACTTGAAACGCTCCCAGCGCTTGGATTTCAGCTCAATTGTGCGGAATAAATGTGGAGACATAACCACCTAGTGTCACACAAGTAACCTGGCAGCGCAGTTACGGGTGTTGGATGCTGCTTTTAAATAAGAATTACCCAGCTGGAATTGCTCTTTGCTCCAGTTTGATGTCTCTTTCCCCGGACTGTTCACTGGCGAATAGCGACCTTGCTGAATGCTTCATTAATTTGGAAAAGGTGCCGCTCTGAAAGGCTGAGCTCGTCCTTTGCTGGTGGTGGCGAGGGGTGTGTGCGTGTGGAGATGTACCAACAGAATCGGGGTGAATTGGGCTTTGCGTTTCTAAAGAATCATTTGCAACCCTTTGCATTTTCCTAAAAAAAAAAAAAATCTACTGATTTTTCAGGGTTTGAGGTTCAAACGCCAGCTCTGGGAAGCGAGCGGGGTGTGAGGACTCCCCACGCTTCTCCAGCAGGAAAATTGTGATGGCAGCAACCAGTGGTTGGGCAGCTGTTGGTCCACTGGTGCTCGGGGCTCCATCAGTCTCACCAAAACCCTCTCGGGAGCTGTGCGAGGATCTCCTGCGAGTTCCCGAGCCCGCCTGGCGCTCCGTGCCCGTGTGTTGGGTGCTCTGTGCGGGTTTTTAGCATCCTTGCAGGGTGTGCTTGTTTACCAGGCTGAAAGCTCCCAGGCTGCCCGTGTGACCGGGAGAAGGGAGTAATGGCATCCCTGTAAGGATGCCTTTTACATTTCCAGCCTTAGGAGCGGCAGGGTTTTGCTGAAGAGGCCGTTTTGCTGTGGTTAGTAAATGGATAAGTCTCGTCTTGTGTCTGTAGTGCTATCGATCCGCGCTGGGTGCGCTAAATGTGCTGTGAAATGGCGAGCGCTGCCAGCAGAAACCCAAAATCCCTGCCTGTGCCCACCAGAGGGTTAAGGACAGCCAGATCCTTGTTCGGGATGTTTAATTTTTATTCTCCTTCCGAAACCCAACCTGATTTCTGACAGCTTTTGCCTTGCAGTAACGACGTGTGTGTCGGCTTTTCCCAAAGGCTGATTTTTCAGCTCAGCAGCATTCCCTCAATCCAGCAATGTGTTTGGTAGGGAAACTTTTCCCCCTCTCTGCAACAGTTTCTGAAAGAGTTGCTGCCATCTGCTCTCCGTGCCTCTCTTTCCACGTCCACCTCCAAGATCCTTTTGCCCAGAGCACAGAATAGTGGTTTTTGTTGACGTTACCTATCAGACTTCATAAAAAAGAACAGCTAAGCAATAAGGAACGTCTTTTCTTGAACGTTGCTCGCTCGGGTTGTCCTTGGTAAGGTGAAAAGAATGTTCCTCCTGCCTGTGAAGAATTAATCTTGGCTAAATGAGCAGGAAACTGCCTGCAATCCGGGCTGCTTCTCATGTTAATGACATTGTTTTGGTGGTTATTCCAGTATTGCACATTAAGTGTTCCGGTACTTAACAATTATTATACTATTTTCTACTCACACCAGGGCTGCAGACGCTCTACAATTTTAGGCGAGTCTAAAAATAAATAAATTCAACAGTAAACTGTTGGCTTTATGATCAGAACTACAAGATTATGTAAGATTTTAAGCTTGAAGTGCAGGCGTTTTTATGAGTAGTGTTTCTTAAGTGACTTATTTCAGTTTAAAACCCTACCTGATGGATTGATTCTAACGTCATCACCACCAGAATTTTCTTTTTTCCAGTCTTTTGTGTGAAAATCAGTTTGCCCAGGTCTTACATTTTGAAATATTGGCAGTGGTTGAGAAAATCCTGGAGCTCAGGTGTGGAGGTGCCTCTCTGTGTGCAGCTCCAGCTCCGCTCTTTCAGCAATTGGGGGTTTGCTTTGCTCTATTTGTTCATTTATTTTTAAATACAGCTATTTTCTGCAGATGTTTACATGGCCAATTAATACCGGGGTTCTTTTAATAGGTGAAAATGTTGTGGTTTTTTTTTCCTGCGTGGTGGGTGTGGAAGTGCTATTTAGGTTCAAAGCGATTTATTTTATTATCTGTAAACTGCACTATGAAATCCTGGAAATGTACTGCAAATGGACAGGAATTTCCAGTGAGTTTGTTAAGAGAGTGAAAATATTTCCCTGTTCTGACTAAGATATTTGAGAAAGAGCATCTGTGTTGTTATTGGGCTTTAAAATATTTGTGGATGCCTGGATGGAAGTGGGTGTAGGTTTGCACCCATCTGTAGGAGCCCCAGAGGCTGAGATGAATGCACATTAACTAAACAAGAAAGCAAAGTGCCCGGGTCAAGGTTCTCAATAAACTCCTGAGATAAACCTGTGGCCATGTTTCATTTCAGAGGAGCAGAAAATCCTGAATTAACAATAAAATATCTCAGAACGAGCTGCCTGTGCTGTAGGTGAGGCAAGACTGGAGGGAGCTTCACAGGAAAACTTGTGACTGAAGCAGCTTGTTCATCAAAGCCGGCTCTCTGCAGATACGATCTGGGTGCTCCCCTGCCCAGGGAAGTGTGCTTGTGTTCTGCTGCTTTTGTGATTGCAGGAGCAGAGAATGGGCACTTTCAGCATTTTCTGAGATTTATGAAACGTACACCCCGTGCAGCTCGAAGTGTGGGACATGCTGGAGGAGTTTTGAGGGTTTTCCTCACCCATAATCTTAGTTTAAAATCTCATCGTTCCTTTTGTTACTCATGAACTCCTCATTTCCCAGCCCATCATCTCACCGAGATACCTGCCCTGCCTTTGGTGCCGGGGTGGTCCCAAATCAGAGCAGCTCTGCAGTCTCCTACAGGGAGCAAGACCTGGAGTTTTTAGAACTGAAGCTAAAATCAAGCTCAAAATCACCTAAGCAGAAAGAACCTGAGCAAAATCACCTAAACAAAAGGAACCACATCAGAAAAGTGTTGATTCTCTATTTCCCCTAATGCCAGCTCACTCCCCTGCCCCCCAGATGATCTTGAGTAATTTAGCTGAAGGTACTGGCGTGTCAAAGACACCTCTGTAGTTCAAGTTGTCTTTTCACTGCATGGAGGGTGTTTTATTCTCTGATTTTTAATTAATCATTCTCTTCTGTCACAGCGATTATTACCTGAGAAATTATTTTTTAAATGGTATCTTTCCCCCCCTAAAAAAAATCTATTGAGAACTGTAAAACCTGCTTTGCATGGTGTGACTTTACAAGCTGAATGGTTGGGTGTCCTGAAGGAATTGAGGGGGAACATGAGACTTTTTCTTTGATTTTCTTGTGTAATGTCTCTTCTTTTACTGTCCTTTCATTATTCACTTGGTAACCCTTGAAAATCCTGCCACAGGTCTGGCAATGTTTGGAATTGTTTCTGCTGCTGTGTTCCCTGTGAGCTGTCCATGAGTGTGGTTGGACTCTAATCACTTTATTCACTTTATTGTGGGGTAATAAACTACTTCAGAATTAGTGCTGCTTTTAAAGTCAAGATTCCTTTATGTTATCAGTGTACAAGTTCTTTATTAAATGTATTACCACTGGGCACTCCTATTGTTGCTGTTAAGAGCAGGATTTGTTTCATTAAATAAAACTCTTTAATACTGTTTCCAACCATAGACTGAGTTATGGAGAGCTTGATGTTACAAATGACTACAGCTCAAAAATCTGTTAACTATTTCTAAGGAATCTGTTAATACTTAACAGTTTGAAAGCCCAAATCTCTCTGAGAAGAGCTGAAATTGTGCAAATGCAACATCAGAACATCGTTTGGTGGAGCTCTGCTTTCCAAACATTCCCGGAGAGATGCTGCTCTCATGAGTTTAATTGCATCTCTGCCCTGCACACACGAGAAGAAAAAGCTTCAATAAGTTTGTCTGCATGTGCTGGGTGTAAGTTGAGGGCAGGAAAAGATGATCTCTGCAAGAAGAGAATCGCTGTTTGCAGGAACAATAGTTTTCAGCTGGGTTTCATGGAGGATATTTGAATGGTTTTTGTATTTTTCCCATTCTCACCTTTCTGGAATTTGAGGGTAAAATTCCTTAGGTGATGAGTTTGGCTGATCAGCACACGAGGACAGACTCAGACTCAAAAAAACCCCTTTTTTCTTCTCTGTTTAACCACAGACATTAATTTTTGTCATACCATTACTTCTAGGGAAGGGGAAAAATGACAGCACCTCCAGTGGTTTTCATTACTAATGTTGTTCATTCATTCCACCTTTTCTTCCAACCTTCTCCACTTGTAGTTTTTCCAGGCTGTAAAAAGGGAGAGGTTGACAAGGAGTTTTATTGTGGAAGTGGTTTCTTGGTGTAGGAGAGATGCATTTCCACCACTTAATTAACTAAAATCAGCTTAATGCAAATGCCTGCTCGAGCTGGTTGGTAGCATCCATGAGCTGTTAGCTCTCTGATGTTCCTGAAAATGAAAACTCCCTAAAAAGATCAAGAAAATTACGGATTTTACAGCCAAGTTCTTGTGTGATGAAATCTTAATGTGTTTTTGTTGCCTTGGTGCTTCAAATTCGGCACATCTTATTTCCTGTTATTTCCATATGGGATTGAAGTGCTATTGGATGCCAGTGACTTTCTGTGGCATCTCTTGTCTTCTCTCCCTGCGCTGTCTGTGGTGGTGGAGGGGTTTTTTCTTAGAAACAGTTTGTGACTACAGTGCCAAACAGCAGAGCATATTTAGGTTTAATCCCACAGAAAATGAATATTTACTGCCATGTTGTTTACGTTGCATGTCTCTGCGGCCAGGAATCCCAAATGTGGGTTAGATACATCAAATCCTTCAGCTCTGGGTGCAAAGAGAGCAGGGAAGCGTTTTTCCATTGCATGGTTATCATCATGGTTTCACAATAATTTAATTCCTG